AAAAATAAAAAAATCGTAACAAAATTTTTCACGTTACTTTTGCTTCGAGAAAATGTTAAAATTTTGACACTCATTTTAATTTTGAATAGGAAAGAATTCGCTAAAACAGAGAAAGAAAACCATCAATGACAATTATTTCTTTACCAAAAGTAGTGATGTCCCAGACCCAGAACATTTATTGTTTTAAAAAAGGTTGAGGAAAACACACTGAATTCTTTTCAGTATTAACACCCTTCTTTTTGCTCATATCTACAGATACACATAATAATTTTTTCACAGCTCGTGCCAGGAAAGGGTCTTCCCTGCTTAGTATATAATTACTATTATCAGGTTGTCGTTAAGGTAATTATACTTTCTTACTTTATTTTTCAATTTATCCGTCCCGAAAGTTTCTGCTTACATCAATCAATTTGATGTAAGCAGAATCAATTCGATTGACATTTTTGGGTCAAACATTATGAATTACGATAATGAGTAAAGTCGATGAACCTTATCTCAGAAATAAGTACATTAATTTTAACCAGTACCGGAAGTCCGAAAAAGGTACCACTTTTTTATATATCAGTTTTCCTAAAAGTCCAGTCGACTTTACAGTTTTCCCACCCATAGGTACTAGTATATTCATGAGCCGCCTATGTTCACCTCAAATAATAAAAACCGTCGTCTTCGTTGATTCACTATTAAAGTCTCTCCAATTGGTTACAATCGTCCGACTTGTCAAAAGGGAAAATATCAAAAGATGTCACTCCCTTCGGGAGTTACAGGAACCTGTAATTAATCCGTTTTGTCACGCGCCAAAACAGTTTGTGCTTGAATTGATATTATCAAAATGTCTAGAACATATTGCTCTGTGCCTGCTTTTAGGGTAATCAAGGATCCTAGAGACCACAAAATAATGCACAGATTCCCTTCAAACACTGTGAACAAACGGTTATGGTGCAAAAAGGTTTTCAATGCTACAAGTAGGTACCCCCACATGAATCTTTTACCTAAGGGAATGTATAGCCATTAAAACCATTTCAGGTGATAATACTGCAAACAAGTTATACATTTGTGGTAAACACTTTGAGAAAAGTTGTTATTATACAAATAAGACTTAAACCCGGCTCTGTTCCTATTTTGTTCCTCCATGGTTCCAAGTCACCGCTACCTGTTCCTATTTCTTCAAGCTCCCCAGCAAGTACTAAACGTGATCCAGAATGCAGCTTCATAATTCCTGAGACACATTCCGATAACAATGTAAACACCTCAAAGAAAGCTTTCCTACTGCATATTCCTTTGAAGATCATCCACGCCCATGGCGTTGTGACTTTGGCACTGGTACCGAAATTTTGCCTCTTTTTCAAGTAAAAACCGAAACACATGATGTCAAATTGTGTCAAAAAGTCAGACCACGACAGACATTTAGCCGACATTACAAATTCCTTTCCCTCCCGACGTATGCGCCCCCACATGTCACATTTAAGGGATTGGAGAGACTTTAATAGTGAATCAACGAATACGACGATAAAAACACTACAATAATAAAAAATTTGTCGAAAGTCATTTCGACAGTACTTCCCTCGCTCCTGAAGTGCAATGAAACATATCCTGCATTTTCGAGTTGAGTTTTTTCTTTACGCAATTTTTTTATGACGTCATCAACATTTTTGCTAGGACACGTATATCAACTTGGATTGGTACAATGTATTATTAAAAATAACAGTATTGTATTCCAAAAATTTTCTGGGAAAATTCATTCATTAATTTTTTTTGAGCCACCTATTTAAGCAAATCTAAAAAATCCATGAATGCAGTGATAAATCACAAGTAAAAACTCATCATACATATTTTGCACATTTTGAGTAGAATTTATTAGGCAAAATTTTGAGATGACGTCATCAATTTTTTGGGGGAATAAATGTATTTTGATTATCAATTTACCATGCTTACAATAACTTTAGAACGTCTAGAAGATTTAAAAAAATAATCAAAATATTAATGGAATGACAAAACAGCAAAAATCACAGCATATTTTAGACATTTTAGATAGGATTTATTCAACAGAATTTTGAGCTGACGTCATCAATTTTTCGGAGGGTATAGGCAAATTTATTTTGTTTAAAAAATTATCATGCTTTAAAACATATGCAAGATTTTAAAGCACTCGATTTTGCAGATTTAAAATTAAATTGCAAAATGTTGTTTTATAATTTTGATTTTTTTTTTCCAAAAAATCTGGACGTTTCGGATAAAAACTCAATACGGCATAATAAACTATATGTGTAGGACTATGTTATTTTATACACTTTAAAACTCATTTACTATGTGCAATTTTGAAGTGACGTATCATATTATTGGTGGGGATGATTAGACAAATTTTGGTTACCATCTACATGATGTTCCTAATATAAATACAAAATTTGACAACAATCGGTCCAGTACTTTTGGAGATTATCTATCTAATAAAAATCCGGGACGGCAGACAGATGGACAGACGAACAGACAGGCAGACGGAAACGAGAGATCTATTTCTTCGTACTGTAGGGATCATGAAAGGTCGAGAAAACGTAAAAGTAGAGAGTCGGTAGAAAAAACTGTTATGTCTATAGAAACACAGAAAATGCGCTGTCCCTATGGGGGATTGTGTATCTTAACGTAATAGACAAATTAGCGAAATAGCGTTCCGTACAACGTATTTCACGTTAAGCTACAAAATCGCCTATAGACACACTGCATTTTCTATGTTTCTTTAGATATAACAGTTTTTTCTACGTTTTGCGTGCTGTACGTTCTACGGAATGTGGTTTCGCTAATTGCCTATTATACGTTGTACGGAAAGTAATTTCGCTAATTGTCAAATTGCCTAATACTTCCTTCGCTTACGCTCGGGAAGTAAAAAGGTATTATAACACCCGTTTTGACACTGACAACCATTTTTATGTCAAGTGTATGTTATTAATCGTCATCTCTTTAAAATTTGTTTTACACAGATTTCTAATTTATAGACGAAATGTGGTGAATCGGCTTTATTTTCAAATCTTGAATACATCGATATGGTTTTAGCCTATGGTGAGGCTCGAGGAAACGGCGCTCACGCCCAAAAAACTTTTTCAGAACACTTCCCAAATCGTCATCCACCAAATGTGCGTACTTTTAAAAATTTTGTACAGCATCTTCGAAAGTAAGGATCTTTTAAAGCTGCAGCTCTTGATCGGGGTAGGTTACGTGGTAACAGAGTTGATAATATTGAAGAGTTTGTTTTGGGAAGTGTCGAAGCTTGACCAGGCACTAGCACGCGAAGATTGTGGTGTACGGAGTATCGGAGAGTAGTATTAGGAGGATACTCAAAGAACAGCTGTACCCCTTTGACGACCAGAAAGTTCAGTTATTGAAACCAACAGACTTACCAAAGGCAAAGCTTGTGTGAGTGGGTTAATAAAAAAATAAACGAACAAACAAATTTTGTATCTCTTAAATCATGAACTGATGAGGCCGGATTCACGAGGGAAGGTGTAATCAACATGCGGAACACCCACATTTGGGCCTATGAAAATCCGTACGCCATTAGGGAGCAGAACTTTCTCTTTCTCTCTAAATGTTTGTCATGTTGACATGATTAGAAAAATACCCTTATCCTAGTATCTGTTTTTGACCATAACTTATTAACCATAATAAATATTATTAGTATCAATGGGGGACTGAAAATCCATGGACGGGTAACTTTAATTGTAAAACTTTAACAATTTTTAATTTGACAACTAAAAAACTCCTGACAAAACCATGTTACAAAAAGTTGTTGATTTTGATGAGCTCTACAACTGATTAGAATTTAGCCACTTATTTCTGAGATACCTGTATATTAGATAACAGCATGATACTGAGACAAGTTTTTTTTTTTATAGTTGTCTTATGTAGAAGGGAGAATCCTAGCTAGTTATACAAATTATTCCTTATCATTAGAATAAAACTATATTTTTCACTTTGACAGCGTCGTTTTGAAATATATCAAATTCAAATGTAATTGCACGTTATTATCGAAGACAAAGATTAATATTTGATGTAAGCACAAAATCAACAAAATCGATATAATTGCAGACTGCATGTTTCACGGTTGTTCTGCACTCGTAACTGCCAAGTGTCTGTAAAAATAAAAGTTGCCATAATAAATTCTCCCGGCGCATCCACCATTTTTAGTAGACTCGTCTATAACAACCCCGTTATTTGTTTAGCAAACGCCGATTTAAAAATAGTTATAGCAGAAAACGTGACTGGATTAATGATGCAGATTTGTCAATGATCTGTAGACTTCTCTAAACTATGACCTATATAGAAATAAATCGATATGATACGCGCGTCAGACACCGTTGTCTAAAAATACCATCAAACGGTTTTGATACGGTAAACGCAACCCATAACCATTAAAGACGACCACTGTTCTTAAAATAAATTAGATTGGGATTAATAACAGAACCCTTTCGTCAAACTACTTTTTCGCTTTTTTTCCTCACATAAGTGTAATTGATAAAAATCATATCCGTCCTGAGTATATGAATGAAACGGAATGCGGATGTGGGATATAATTTGATTCATATTATTCGTTTTTGATTGGAGTTACATGTTCTCGGGCAATATCAGCATAATCTTGAATGAAATTATCACTCCCTTTTTTTATCAGCCGGTTGTTATCGGATTGTTGCTCGTCAACATGTAGTTCCAAGTGTTTAACATCGCATAATCAAAAAATGTCGTGTGAAAAAGCTAAAATAACGTTCGGGAATTGTCTACGGCCCAGCAACGGTATCCAAGATCCAGCATATCGTATTGATCCGTATTTTCTCTATCTCTATCTCTTCTTTCACCTACATTTTACATCATGTCTATTTCGTCCGTTCATTCACGAATCTCGCCACAACATGGTTGCGACTGTCAGATTGGCACCATTAAGTCAGACAATACTCATCATGACAAACAGGCGTAAAAAACCTAACAAAACTCTTCCCTAACTTTACCCAACTTACTTTTTCGTTGTTGCTTTTGAGTAATGGTGGTTCTGTCCTCTTAGCTAATCGATGTGTAACACTCTATCACAGACATTTTCACTAGTCGCGACGCGTTTTGCGGAATTAACAGACAACAACCCCGATTGTAATACATCCTCAACGTATTTCCAAGCCCGACTAACTGTGGAGGCGGTTTTGACGTCACAGACATGCGCCGCGACGCCATCGACGACGTCGAGACGCATACATTTTTAAAGAGGTAATTAAATATTCGTCTAATCTATCTTGCTTCAATCAAACTCATTAACGGTCGCTTTAGATCCACGAAAAATCGCGTCGTCGAACGATTGACGTTTTTCGCTTATTTTAAATATGCCATCGGTTGAATTACCGAGACGATTTCTTGCATCGTTTTAAATCGTCCATCCGCGCCGAAGATTCGCCGATTTTGGGCTAGAATTGGTGCTGTTGCACTTGAAACTGCATGCGTGCATCGTCAGCCGTTACCCCGGTAACCCATTGAAGTCCTCTGACGTCAGCCTCCATTCGGGGAAATCATTTGCCGTTGCCGCAGAAGTGGTGGTGACGCCGATGACTCTGCCGCTTTCCCATTGGTCTAAATTCGACTACGTCATTCTGCCCACGTCCACGTTACAATCAGGTCGATATTATTCATCCCGATAGAGCGTTATCTTTCAGGATTTTCTCATTCCTCATTAACGGATTTATCACAGTCGCACCCCCTTACTGTCGTGATTTATTTATTTTATGTCTACGATCGATTCCAAGGAATCAAGTACAATTTCAGTCTGGACTTCTGGTCCAGTAGAGACGAAAACAAAATTTTCGCCGTTTATGACGCTCTAGTATTCAGACATTTCTTTTATAGGCAATAAAGACAATTTTACTCCGAACCACGACAAAAGCTAAATCTACTGATTTCGAAACGGTGGGTTTCGTTCGTGTAGGTGGTGGAAGATAGATTTGCACTCGCTTGAATGGAGCTTCTGTGCAAAAATAAAACAGAAACTAGAAAATCTGGAAAAGATTTATGAGTTCGTTTATAACATTTTAGACCGAAATCTGGTCCAGGGGCAAGTTAAGAATGCATACAAAGCGATCATATCTGGAACGTTAGTAACAGGGTAACAGCAAGGATAATGGATATGGTGAGGAGAAATGAAGCAATTACGGTGTGGCCGCTAATTTTTACGGAACTCGATACACATTATCTCAATTTCTGTGTTAATTGTATTACATGCATTCTTATCGTTTTACTTTCGTAAACACACAGTTTTTACTTCCTGAGCGTAAGCAGCTAAGAAAGTATTGTAATTGTAACCCATTAGACAACTGGCTACTTTTATATTTTCTCGATATTTCATGACCACTGGAGTACTACAAAATAGCTCTCCCCCCCCCCTCTCTCTCTCTTAGACAGATAATCTCCGAAACTACTGAACCGATTGTTGTCAAATTTTATATGTGCACTAGGAGTATCGTTAAATGGTAAAACGCTAACAAAAATGTGTATAATCATCCCCACCAACAAAAGAAGGACATCATCTCCGTCATATCCAAAATTCACATTAGTAAATGTTATTTAAATTTTATAAAAGAAGATACTCCTGCACATGTGGTTTATGAATCCGTGTTGAGTTTTTGCCCTAGTCATCCAGATTTTTGTAAAAAAATCAAAACTTATATATTACATTATTATTATATTATTATTACATTATTTAACAACATTTTGAAATTTAACTTTGGAACTGCAAAACCGAATTCTCTGAAATGTTGCAAACGTTTTATAAATCGTTAATAAAAATTTTTTATCCCTTCCAAAAAAGTAATGATGTCATTTCACAATTTTGCCAAAATAAATGTTCCTTAAATTTTATATAATTACATTGTCCTACATATGTGATTTAAGGATCCGTTTCCAGTTTTTACAATAGACGTCCAGACTTTTGGAAAAAAATTCAAATTTAACTTTGAAACTGCAAAACCGAATGTTTTGAAATCTTGCAAACGTTTTAAAGTTATAGGGAGCATGATAAATTGTTAATCAAAATTGATTTGTTTGTGGCCGTCCCAAAAAATGATGACATCATCTTACAATTCTGCGAAATAAATGTTGTTTTTACTTTTTTTTTAAATAACCTACTCTTGCATGTGTGATTTGTGAATCAGTCTTAAATTTGTAACGGTTAAGAATTAATTGGTACGTCATTTAAATATATTGAAGGGTAATGTATTCATACGACATAGGCTATTGAGAAAGTTTGTTTCGACTGTGATTGGTTTGTTTAGAAAAACCTAAAAGAATTTTTCATTACTTCAAGTTTTGGGAAATAGATTTTGAAGAATCTATGTGTTTCAATGTACACTTTGTGTTGGATAATATTTGTTGGATAACATGTGGGAAATAGGTGCACGCTGAAATCGACGAATCGGATTGTGAGAGGTTCTTCAAAATTGCGAGTTTTTGTATGCGCCTTGAAGGGATTTTCGCTACATAGAAGTTTTCGCTATTTGAAGCCTCAATACACAGTGAGATGTATACATTTCAATTACACCATGTATTCATTCTTTTGGAGCGAAAATCAATAAATTTGTAATTCGTGAGTGTATGACAAATCCTTGTGAGTCAATCGCCTAAACATGCAGTGATGCAGATATTGGAACTTTCAGGCTTTTTATTTTGGAGTTACCGGGTTTTATTCCTTTGGTCTAGTGAGAGTCGAAGTTTTTGGATTTGTTTGGATCTACTTGGAAAATATATATTTGGGATGTTGAGAGTATGGTGGATCTCGATTTATGTTATTAAATTCTTAATTATTCTCAAAATTGATTGAAGAGGGTATCAATTTGGTTTCGACAACTCTTCACCACCTAAGTACTTTCGCGATATTGGAAACGCGATTGCCACTCAAGCAAGGATTTAATTGCTAATGCATTTCTTTTTTTAGGAATTTCATTAGAATTTGAGTTGGCGTATATCAGAGATTTAATAGACTATTTAGTTTTGACAGCAATTTAAATATCGTGAAAAAGATAAAAAATATTTGCTGCGTACTCGTTGCAAACTCGTCAATCATTGTTGAAAGAACAAAACTGCTGTTCTAGTCCTACCTGTGGAAACGACACGAAGATATTTCATATTCTTATAGATTGAATGGTTTTGACCTCTTAAAAATTATTCAATCTTAAGTTTGTTTGTTTTTTTATACCATAACTTTTATTGTACGAGAGAATAGACATTTATAAGCTTGGTTTGAATATTTATTATGTTCCTGTTGCTTGGAAGATAGGTGATTATTAAAACATTTCGAACTTTGGTTTTGGGTCCTTCTGGCTATTAACTGGTCTAAATTTGGAGAATTTTCTCAAAAGGTCGTGGCGCCTTGGGATTAGTGTGTATAAAATAAATTTTAAAGAAAAAACCCACCCCACTCTCCTGAAGAGCTAGCACACTAGTTATTCATAACATCAGCAGGTAAGGAACTAATAATTACTTTTGGTAAGCAAAAAAACAGTTTAACGTTATGACATGCAGATTTTTGAAAACTAATTCAAATTGTGTAAAAACATTTTGCACACACATGCAAGAGCATGTTCCTGTATATGTGATTTAAGGATCCTTCTTGAGTTTTTACCCTACACGTCATTTTTGGAAGAAAATTCAAAACTATATTTTACAATTTACGAGACTTGCCATCTGATAATGGAAATATTAAAAAAATACAACACCGATTGAGTTAACATCTTTATTTGTTCCTCACTTGTAAACATCAATTTATCAACTCAATTTAGTCCACGTGAAAATGTCTCTTAACTAGCTAGCCAATAAAATTTTTATACTTGTGCTTTGTATATTTTATACTATTATAATTTGAAATGAGTGCCAAAGTTTTTATATAACGATTTAATTATTTTTAATATTAACATTAACAGAAATCATGTCTTATTACTATCGTTTACATTAAATATCATGGTGCAGTTATTATTTGCATGTATATTCTCTGTAGAAGTGGATGGTGTGGATTTTTTAAGTGAGAACAATTTTTTTGACAACTTGATCTTGTTATCAACGGAGTCATCCACGTACCTCTCTGCAATTGTTGTTGATTTCCATCCCCCTGCACGCTTCAAAGTTAAAATATCACCTCCCGCTTCAACAACCATCGTTGCTCCAGTTCGTCTAAATGAGTGAACTGTATGTATCCTAGGTATTCAGAAATTTTCTTAGGTACAATGACAACAGTATGTTGACCTGCATTCCAGTACGTCAAAAACAACTGCAGGCCCTTAATTTTCTGAAGCCGTAGAGTCGCATATTTTCGATAAATATATCGCAAGGTTTAAAACTACACCCATCATCCGTTATTGTAAACCACCTAGTTCTTAAATTTTTGGTTTCGCGTAAGGTGACAGTAATATATTTGTCCCAATCTTCCACGTCAATTCAAGTGAGAGAGAAGCTCATCACACTGGCAACAACCAAATATACCAGAAATGGTGATAACTTTGCAAGCAAGCACTTCTCGTCAGGAGCTTCAAGTATAAATTTTCCACTTGCTCCTTCGTCAGAGTTTTAGCTTTCTTAGCAACATAACGTCTACTTCGTCTTTTCAAAAACGCAACCACTTTGTGGAATCTGGAAATGACGAATAAAAACCTGAACTAAAAAAAATAGAAAGAAAAAATTGATCGAAAGTTGTTTTGACAAAGCTTCCCTAGCTCCTGAAGTAGAATCAAACATATACAGCATTGTATTCCCAAAATTTTCTGGGAAAATGAAGTGAGCCCTTCCCGAATTACTCAATAAAAACAAATCTAAAAAATTAGTCGAAAGTTGTCTCGACAAAACTTCCCTCGCTCCTGAAACATATCCAGCATTTTCGAAAAATTATAAAATTTGATTTTGCGGATTTTACATTTTTTAAGAACCCCTATAAGTTGAAATAAACATAATGTAAATATGTAATACGTCAATCACCATTTTTGCAAGAACACATATTTCAACTTAGGTTGGTGGTGCAGTAATACTAATATTAACGTATTATATCCCCCCCCCCAATTTTGGAAAAAAATCGAGCGAGCCATTCTTGATTTAATCAATAAAATAAATTAATTTATTCATGCAAATCACAAGTATAG